GGGATTAGCAAGCAGGTGCAAGGTTTGGCCCTTTGCCAGCGCGTATTCAGAACACGGGCGCATTCCTCCCTACTAATGACACCGGCACCGCTTTGTGAAATTCGCCCTTAGTTCCATCAATAAGACGCCCTTCGCGGAACTCGGTTCAATTTCGAAAAGAGTATTAGGTCAGAAAGAGCGGCGAAGAACTCGAAAACGGCTGGTGCACATTTGGAGGCAGGCCAACATGAAAATGATGAGTGCTGCTCGTTATCTGCTGAGGGCCGTAATTAGGAAACGTAATAAGCCGCGAATTTTACACTGTTTTAGAAACACGCATCCTGGAATTTCCTCAAATTAAGAAAAAACCCGGCACACCGTATCTTCTATCAAGCTAAAGCTAAATTAATTGGTCGATGCGGCACAAACTGTAGTTCATTTAAATACCGTGTTTGACATCTAAGTAGTCGCCTTCAAACATCGCTTTTCGGTGTTTATTTGCGTTCAAGCAATAATTTGACTTGATTTAATTATCAAGCAGTAGCCATGTCAATGAGCTGTCAGGAAAGAATCCTCTGGAGCATGAACAGGAGCTGTCACGCACATTTTGGATTTGGCGAAATTTTAATTTCAAAAATCCTGTCCGGTGATATATTGACATTTTGCTTGAGCCACTCGAGCGAGACCCGTGATTTTCCAAGAGAAGCGGAACTCATCAAGCCGCTCTAGTAAGCCCCTAATCTACAGTTGTGACATCATCCTCTTTCGCCTACTTCCAAGAAAAAGGGGGAGGGAGTGAGCCAAGTATTTGCCGAGTAGAAATCCGGGTCGCCGCTATTGTAAATTAATAGGACTCAAAGCCGGGAGCAAATTTACGGTTCGGTCTCGGCCAAACAATCAAATTCACAAATCAGACATCAACAACGACTTTCTTGGCGACAGGTTTACTGAGTTGCTGATGCCTTGGGATTTGACGATCAAGCCGATTTGTCGCTGCTCTTCTTTCATCTTCGTTTTCTTGGAGATTAGCTGTCTTACTTTTACTTTGCTTCAATTGCGAAAAAAGAAAGATCAAAATTCTGACTAGTTAAATTTTGTAGCGACATAAACTTACCGCATTTTTATCACTCGTATTAAAAACGGTTAACAACTAAAAACTCTCTTGGAACTAAAGATGAACAAAAAAACAAAGCCACATTATTAATAGATTTAATAGAGCGACGGGAAATAGTTTGATCTCAAAACAACTCTTTTGTATAGTCTAAATATGAAGAAGACTTTCGCAAAATACGCCCAGGCGAGGTTTTAGTATTTATGGTGGCTAATACCGCGGGATTACGGACCGCGAAAAGATAAGAACACGATGTATTCTGCAGACCAAGGGATTTTGAATGTCTTGGTACTAGCTAACTACTGACTCGAAAATCATGCGACCCAGGGAAGTCATTCTTACGTCACGGAACTCGCCGCTACCTGTAATTTGGGCGTGATTAGGTGCATCAAGGTGATGTTCCAACGTAATCACCGGATACGCGTTTTCCTCGAAGTGAACTTTGTTGGGTGGTTTATTCAATATCCACCGCGATAGAGGTTGACATTTCGCATAAACCACCCGTTGGGTGCTCAATGTGCCAGACTGAAAAATTGAAGAGCAACCTCTCGACGGTGCTCCACAGAGTGTTATCTGGTGCAGTCATATGGTCGGGATAGAAATCCGCGTGGCTTCTTTTTGGCGGAGTATTTATGGTGTCCAGGAAAGGGATAATTTCTTTAGCTTTAGTTCTAATTATAATAGGGCGTATCTTATTTTGGCTGAAGTACTTCGGATTTGACTCGTTTTCGGGCGATAAAAATAGGTTTAGCGAAGATAGTCTTACTAAAAATTATCTAATAGCTTTACGAAGAAATGCTCTATTGACCGAGTTCTTTCAAAAATGCAAGAAAAGTTACGATAGAGTGGTGAATTTAGAATTCCGCTCTGGCAAAAGGTTCACAGATGCGTGGCTGTAAAGACGCGCCAAGAATCCGCCTGAGTCTGCATTCAGCAATGCTGCATGCAGCGATAACAACGTCAAGCTCGATGCTGGAATTTGTTTGACATAAAAATGAAAAACGTGAAATGCGATAAGCTAATTGCTTATTCTTCAATTACGAGAAAAGAGTCTAACTAATTGACGGGACTAGTTCTGTTGTTGACAGCAGTAAGTCAAAGCTATGGTAGAAAGCAGAGGACTATCTGTAGAAAACGGTTTTTTATACCGAGTTTTTGATAAAAACCTGGAAATTGAACACCAAGTAATTGACGTAGCTCGGGTAGAGTATATTGGTGGAGGATAGTGGAAATGAATAGACCACGTGATAAATTGAAAAATAGTCTTATGGTGCGTCAATATTCTTGAGTGCCTGTATAGTTTTGATGAAATTCAGAGTGATTGAAGTCAGGAAGCAATGTTTAATTAGATACTATGGACCTAACCCATCCTTTAGTTTGGTTATCTTTTTTTGCCTCCAAAATACTGTATGCAATAAGCTCTTGTTGGTAAATTCCCCCTTATTGAAGTAAAACAAGCTTCTGAAAAGAAGAAATTAAAATTAATTGAATTTCACGGCGGTACGTCTCGCGGAAATCGGATGTCTTTGAAAGCCATCTGGTGCGGGAACCATTAGGTGGTGGATCGATGCTGCACCTCTTCTTTTTCCCTTCCATATGGGTAATTTTGACTGTACGGGTATTGCCGCGCTAATTTGATTTTTATTACAGTCTGTCAGTAAGTGTCAAAATTGGCGGCCAGATTGCGGAAGTTAAGGCTTATAAATATATATCGAGAGACTTTAAAATAGGCCTCTTAAAACCTAGAAGTACTCGACTCTAAAATTAGCGGTGAGTAGGCCACAGATTCGAAACCGAAATCTTAGATAATTCGGCACCCTCCATACGAGTCCAAGTTGGATTAGCTGGTGAGTGCGCCTTTCTAATCTACCATAATGGGGTGTCTATCACGTGTTCATCTGGTCGCTTTAGGTTCCTGATGATTAGCTCGTTACTACATCAGCTAACTGGAATCAGGCGCCACGCGGTGATTCTTCTAGCTCAATTTTTCTATGAGTCAGAAACCAAGGCAAAGAAACTCTTTCCTACAATCATTTATATGAAGGATATTAAAATAAACTTATAATCGGGTATTTGAGAAAATTCAATACACATAATACCTTAATTTTTTCGATTTTATGGTTTCTTTTTATTCTTTTTCTTTCTGGAAACCCTTAATTTTAAGAGTCAAGGGCTCTGTGCACCTACATATGCAAGAGCAAAGTGAAACTGTTGTCGGGAGATAATAGACTAACTTCTAACGGGGGACTTCACCCATGTTGCATATATATTACCGCTTCAAAAATGTGCATCTGGCTATTTTGAATATTGAATATATTCCGCCAGAAAGTCAAGCACCACACATCATTTTTTTTTTCAAAAGTTAGCAACGTGGCTTCCCGAGAATCGCTCTCTCAAAAGAGAACTATCTAAAAAGTGAGTTTGCAGTATCAGCTGAGTGAGTGGAGATACTCCTCTCTTCAGGAAATAATAATTCCTTCCGGAAGTGGATCTTGGCACCCTGTCAAGCGCCGAAATCCTCATTTTGGAGGTCAAATGTAGAAAAAAAAACGAGGCAGCAAATCTTCCGGTGTGCAGATACTCGCCGCCGCTAACATAGCCTCATGAAGTGTCAACAATGGACGCGTGCCCAGAGCGGCCCAAGACGGAGAAGTTATTGGTCGCCAAAGCCGGGAGAATCGGACAATACGGTATAGAAAACGAACATCCTACGGCAAAAATCGCAGGCTAAATGCCAGAATAGCAAATTTACAACGATGAAAACAGTGTCGTCTCCCAGCCAGATCGGAAGCTCAAAGGTCTGAAGCGACCAGCTGATCTCTCAAATAAAAGCACGAAAATGCTAGAATGACTTAACAGCTCGTGAGAATTTATCAATTTCCGGAAGGCCTTTTCGTCGGATGTGAGCACAAATGAACACGCGGTTGTATATTCTGCAGCGCAGAAGGACAAATGTCAGAAGATTGAGAATTTAGCATCATCAATTTTTTATATTAGTTAAGTTCTGGCCATTTTCGAAACTCAATTTCATGATTACTGGAATTCTCACGTGCGTTTTGGCCCAAAAATGAATTTTTGTAGAATTTCTATTTGAAGAAAATACTTGAGACGTCACATGATGACTGGATTGAGAAAGGTTGATTCAAAACAAATTTGCGCGGGCTTGACGAATGTCAAAATATCACGCAATTATGAGGCTCATAATCTGCGATTGCGTGGATTACTAAATCAACAGTGAGGAAATCAAGGCAAATTTAGTCATGTGAAGGTTTATTCTAGCTCGCCAGGCTGTCATGTGTTTCCATGACGCTGTTGATGTCCTATCTTTCCAGCTGTGGATTATCCCAATTCGACTAGATCTGTGTTTTTACGATGATAATGAAGCGAAAGATTTGTTGTTTCTGGCAGGTCAAGATTTATCAAACAAGGAGAAACGCTCGTGGAAATCTCACTGACAGCTACCTGATCTTTCGGAAATTCCACAATAAAAATCAAGGAAGACTAACTTGGGTGGTCGATGCTGAATCCAGATCTTGTTAATATTTCTATCCGTTGTTATTAAACGAGGCTTAAAATGACCATATATTCGGAAGAAACAATTGTCTAAGAAATCTCTTCAAATAATCGGTCCTTATTGCCGTAGCATTATAAAGTGGGTTTACGGAAATCTAAAATACGGACTGACAGATATCTGCTTCAGACTTTTGGCTTTCCCATGTAGCTATTTTTAAAACATGAAAGAGAAATATTATTATACCAGCTTTAAGTTTATACTCAAGTTCATGATCATTGATCTTCGTATTTTGACAGGTAAGCCGATGAAAACAGCTGCTGAGGTGATCAAATGACATTCGAGTTCGATTATCTTTCGAAAAAGAGAAACTTAAAATTGCATGAAGACACCCGAGGTTTATTTATTCACAGTGGATCTATGGAAATGGCAGCAGATCCAGCTATTCGAGCCCGGTTCCGTACTTTTCTTCCAAACTCGCGACTCGTTTAGCACTATCGTTTGAACGCTCCCGGTTCTGAAATATTTGTTTACTTCTATGAATGGGGATCAAGCTCAACTTGTCTTGATACTGCACAATTCTAGCGTAAGCCATCACAGCTGAATCGTCCGAAAGCATTTGCACATGCGGATTGCCAATCGTCTGTTGTATCTTTTTCGCTCCGCTCAGTCCATTCGGAAGCTCTAAAATGGAACATTCCAGCTCTATTCGATTTATTCAAAACTTACGTAAACCATTATCAAAATAAAATCGATGAAAATCCTGTCCCTTGATCAGCTGTCCATTCTAAATAAGAAATCAATACGAAAATGTCCTCAACGTAGACACTTACTGTCTCGGGCTCGAAACAAGTCATCATCGGGTCAGTAAGTTTTACATATGTTTCCCAGTCGGCATCTTGTATTGCTTGAAGTAGCACTTCTGTAAACTTGATCAGTTCCGCTTTTCGCGATCTGTGATCATCAGACTCTTCTGCTGAGCTATTTGAATCGTTCACCTAGTTACAGTTAAAAACTAAGCAAGAAATGCAAGCGATTATTAAAAAGTAACAAACATGCAAAAGCTCAAAACAGATAATCAAATCAATCATCTGTTGCTCGAACAGAAAGCGCGTGCTCATTTTTGATATAATTTTGTTAAAAAATGGTAAATATTTTTATTCAGAGGAATTCACCAAAATTTCTATTGGAATCTTTGGCGAATACTTCTGTGTTTTTCGTTACAATATTGGTTAACAAAAGGTACGGTAATTATATATCGACTGGACGGTAATGGCAAACCGTATTAGTGATCGACATGGAGGATCCCCGTCGGATCACCGTCTCTTGATGATTCGTCTGAAATTAAAGCATCTCTACTAATCACTGGCATGGTAAAGAATCAAGGACAAAAACTCAAGAGATTTAGGGCAAACAAATATATGTTTATATATTCATCACTATCAACAAAAACCATCCCAATTGGCAATTGAAGAAATGGGGAAAAAAAAGCAAAAAGCAGAAAATAATCACTCAGTAACTCACGAGTATACGACTATTTCCACTGACAACGGGCGGGTTGATATTAACGATAGTACTGTATTGGACTCTATTTTTATTCTATTATCTAAAATTCTATAAATCTTCTAAGCCCCATACATAACTTCTAACAATCGTAGCTGAGCTATCTTGCGTCGGCAAAGAGCCAATCATAAATTTAGTCTTGGGCTGGTCCTCTTCGGGCGTTCCGATATGGAGCACTTCTTGGGGCTCAGGGGAGCCACTGTGACATGTTTCATAACTTGCCGCAGAGCTAGCAGAGTCTTCTGACACATTAGGGTTCTTAAAATCGTGCATTTTAGATTCAACATGTGCAAACATGATTCGTTTCGTCAACCAATTCATTTCATTAGAGTTGTTAACAATTTTAGTGCGAAAAACATTCTGATTAGTGGAAAAAAAGCCAAACTGACCTTGGTCACATTGGATGTGACCTCGATGACAGTATCTTGATGTTCGGGTACTACTGTAATTTGCGAAGCTTGTGATAGGGTAGTCGCTGTACTCGGACTTTCTTTTGCTCTTTCAAACTTGCTGCTTTGGCTAGATCTTCTTTCTGGAAGTAAAAAACTGTGATTCGTTTTGTTAATTTTTGGGGACTGAAATCAACGAGGAGATCTTTCGAGTGATTCTCGAAGGAGTCTTCAATAAAGAACTTTTGCGTTTGATAAAAAAAAGAGAAGCGATCTGTAAACCTTGTTATTAAAAGCCGACACGACCGAGGCGAGCGAGGAAGGGGTCTCGATATCCGTGTCCGAGTTGGAAACGGTGTTCTCGATCACGGTCCCCGTCCGGCTGTCGGCCGAGATTGTGGCTAAGGTGGATGGGGGCTTCTTGGACGCCTTTTTCACTTGTTAGTTCGGGTTCGATTTTGAATCGGGTTATGTTATAAAAGTAGGAGAGTAGGCTTACCTTTTGGTTTTCCTTCGCCTTGGAAATCAAATTCCTCGAGGAAAAGTTTCTCGTAGCGAGCATAGTCGTTATTATTGCACCCTACAATTAAGTTTTCGATGGAATCATAGAAGCGTCTAGTACCTTTAGTTTTCTGCGAGCATTGAATTTTTTGAGGCATTCGACGGTTTCTTGACGATGAATAGTAGCAGCAAATCGTTCTCGTTGCTACAAAATGGTCTAAATATCAGAACAACGGGCAATTCCTTTACAGAGATCCATGGATGGTTGAGCGCTTGTTCTGCAGTGATTCTCTTTTTCGGATCGAGAACAAGCATCTGTTTGATTAAGTTTTTCGCGTCTGCTGTGACGGTGTCCCATTCTGGCGATGGAAAGTCGTAAGCGCCTGCTTTGATTTGAGCGTACAGGCGGTGCTAGAATCAGGATAAAAGAAGAAATCAATGTGAGAACAAACCTGATCTTCGTCCCAGAATGGGGGGTATCCAACCAGTAATATGTACAAAATGACACCGCAAGCCCAAATGTCAACAGCTTTTCCATACGCTTCTTTTCGCAAAACTTCCGGGCTTAGGTATCCTGGCGTCCCAGCAAATCCTAAGTTTACATTCAGAACTACAGTCAATTTCACTTGAAAACTAACCGAACCAGGCTGGCTGATCTCCTTGAACTTCTATTGCGAGGCCAAAATCGGCAAGTTTGACAGCAGCATTTTTGTTTTTCGAAGCAAGTAATAAATTTTCCGGCTTGAAAGAGATCGTTATAAACAATAAAAATTTAAATTTTGTTATTTTTACTACAGTAAGCATGCAGTTTGAGTGACACGTGACAGTTACAGACAATCATTTGGTGACAGATTCTTCTTTTCGTTTTAAAAAATAATGAATTATTATCACAACTCCCTGTGATAATCCAATTAATATCTAATTATTGCATTAATAAATTTTAATTGCCAGGGTTAAACAGCTATTTCGTGGTCTTGCAAAAAAAAATCTACGACTGATACCTACTTTCAAGTCTCTGTGGACCACGTTATGAACATTGTGGCAGTGAAGAACGGCATCAAGAATTTGTTGGATGCACTGGCTAATATATTCAATTGGTGAAAATATTGATTCTATTCTTTTAAAGAAGAAAATGCGATACTATTCCCTCAAAACTTTCGGGGAGGTGTCTGGAACCGACAAAAAACTTTCGACAAATTTTGCGTGGAAATTTTCAACCAATCAGAAGCCTAGATTCAGCAAACCGGCCAATCAGCAGCCGAGTAGCCGCCTACGCAAATTTTGTCGAATTTTTTTTGTCGGTTCCAGACACCATCCCAAACTTTCGCCATCAAGATGATTTCTGTATGGCACACAAAACTGATCAAACAAAAGTTCAAACTTCAAGCTTCCAAGATCAAGCGTGTCACAAAAATGTAAAATTTAGAAATAAAGAATTAACGACGACAATTTCAGCCGGCAAGATTTCGTTAAAAAACGATACCCAAGCCTGAATGTCGCGGCAAACTCTTTTCATTCGTGCAAAAACAGAGCGAAAAAACAGGGTTGATCCCGTCTGCTGATTTCAGACGAGCCCTGCAAGACCGCGTGCCCAAGCTCGGATTCCGAAGACTGATTATTAAGGCACACTGGTTAAGTCAAGTTAACCCGAGGTGGAAATTCTACCTTGAGATCTCGGTGAATGACGTTATATGTGTGGATATGTTTCAAACAGTCGAGTACTTGGGAGATGCAGCGACTGTAGCGGAGAGAATTTTAACTGGAGGTTTTTAAATTTCAATTAAAGAAACGCTCATTTTATTTTCTCCAAAAATGGATTTTCTTCTTGCTTATTTTTCGGCTATTTTACCTGGCATCTGATTCGGAATAGAACTCGCGCGCAACGATATCTTCGAAAAGCTCGCCTCCAGTCACTCTGAATAATTGACTGTAAGACAACTGTCCCTCTCCTTTCATCCCCATTTCACTTTATTATTTTAAATAACTGGAGCGCTTTCCCGGGCCCCTGTCACTTCTGACACTGGCTGCCGATCATCGAGCCAGATATTTGTCAGCGCTGGAGTTACTGTATCAATCCGTGGCTCAGAAATCTGACCAAAGTCGAAATAGTCAAAGTGTTTTTCTTGTCTTTGGAGAATTTCCGCGGCTTCGTTTCTAAAAAAGCCGCTACGCGGCTTTTCATCTTTGCTCTTTCAGACCCTGACTCAGGTTTTCTACTCAGGTTGCCGAGCCCAGCTTCGACCGTGACCCTGTGGACAGGTTTCGAAGCCCAAACTTACAAATCAAAGACGAGGTAATGGCAGTTGTCGTCCGAGAGGGAGTCATGCAGCCGAACGATGTTCGCGTGGTTGAGCAGTCGGCAGATTCGCGCCTCGCGTTCCAATTTTTGATGATCACGCGCCGACAGCTTCCGCGTGTTAATAATTTTCGCTGCGTATTCTTCCCCATTTACTTTCTGAATTCGAAATCGTGAGAAGCGGCGAACGAGTTCGCCTGTCAGCGGGCGGAAGCTATTTACCTTGACGCAGCGTCTGACGATGGAAAATGCTCCTTTTCCGAGCTCTTCTTTCAGCTCGTACTCGTCATTGAAATGACCACTGGAGCCGTTGCTCGGCATAGCTGTCGAACCTGATATTTGTTGTTATTTAAGATATTTAATAAAATGGAGTATTCCTATTATTTCTTTTTGATAAAATAAGGGTATCACATTCTAAATTCTGCGCGCAAATTTAGCTTGAAATTCGGGCTCAATTATTGTTTTCGTTTCAAAAAAATCACTTGACTTGAAAAATTGAGAAAAATTTTAGAGGAAAAATAAAGATGCCACTTGTCACGTGTCTATAGCCTTGACTTAGGACTTTTAACAAGCTCAAAGTGCCCTGTCTACAGCTCTTGTTCCTTCCGGTGATAATTCTCACAAGTTTCCCCTCCTTTCCCGCAATAAAGATTTATTATCCAGTAATGGTCCTTTTTTCAAACATGATTGGAATAAGTTTGTAAATTATAACCTTGAGTTCGATTTGAATCGTTGGCTTTGGACTCTGATTTTCGGCTTCGCTTACTACCGAAGCGTAAGAATTTCATCTTTGTCTGTATATTTCGCCACTTCCATTGATTTCTTGTCACTGATTTCTCCTATTCTCCACGTGAGCCGAAATCATGGATAGATCAAAATTCAAACACTCGAATTTTCGAAGAATTGTTTGATTTTTAATTTCTATCCCGTTTCTTTAAGATTTTTTTCTCTTTCAGAAAAATAGTCTTCCCTTTTTTCGCGTTTTCTTTGGCTGTCAGATACACAAGAGCGTCCCTGGATTTTTGGCTCACTGGATCTTTATCTACCAGTTGCTTGATATATCTAGCCGTGCCAATAATAACTCATTGCTCAGTACATCTCTGACCCCCTCTCCTATCTTTCTCTCTTTGGTTGATCCAAAGTAGTGAGCCACACTTTCGAGCAGCTCACCTTTTATTAACCTTGAGGGAAAAATACACAAAGTAAATTTGTGTTTATTTCAATCTCACTGAGAGGAGAAGCGTGAGAGACTAGTTGCCTACTCACGGGAGAGAGAGAGAGTCGAGAGAAAGAATATAGCGAGAAGAACAGGCCTTATTCTGTTGTGAAAATCTGGTAGAGAGCAATTAATTATGAAAACGATATGACAACGAGTTCGTGTCTGATCTCGCCAAAGAATAACTTGCTTACAAAGAAGCCAAAGATCGATAACTACAGAAAACGCATATCGAATCTTCATTAAAACATACGGAAAGATATCAAAATATCTCACTCTATTACAGTAATTATTTTCTGTAGTGATCTTACGAAGCTCGTTATGCGCTCTTTTCTCTCGATAATTTTGCTCTTTCCTTGCCTAATTATCTCAATTTTACAAAAAGAAAAAGAAAAAAAAACGTTACGATTTGGCGGGTACGATTATTGCGTCTCTGCCAAGAAAGACTTGACCCCGGAGTGACTTGATTTAAAGCCTCAAATTTCGTTAAATAATGCTCGAGATTCGACGCACGCAGCTTCTGAATCTGTCCACTCTTGACTCCCATAACGTTATTTCAACCAAACGACGTGCATTTCGGGATATTCTCGAGGAAACAAAATATGAGAATTTTCTAATATAAAAATTCTTGATGAACAAGATAGAATATCCTGCGCTTCAAAAACACATTAAACCCAATTTGAAGTTCGCTTTACGAGCAAAAATGCAATAAAAAGCGAACCAAGTTCAATATATGATTTTATCCTTTTCATTTGCGTTTTTTCATTGTTTATTGATGATGAGATAATTTGCGTCCATTCTAATAGCTGTGATGAGCATTTGTCGGATTTAATTTGTTCGGATAATTTTTTTAAATAAAATTAATATATTTTCTGTGCGAAACTAATTTAGTACCTCTTTCTTTTGCAATGAACATGGCCTTGACGAATGTTTTTAGCTTCATTCCAGTTTATAAACTTTTCCCGCTTCTCTCATAATAATTTGTTCAAATTTGGCTAGTGACAGCGGAAGCGAGTTAATTTTGTATCTAGGCGGTGGTAAAGAGAGGCGATTTTCTGGCAGTTAGATTTTCTGGCAGTTAGACTTTCTGGCAAAGGCGATTTTCTGGCACTGCCAGAAAATCTAACTTCCAGAAAATCGCCTTTGCCAGAAAGTCTAACTGCCAGAAAGTCTAACTGCCAGAAAATCGCCTCTTTTGATTTTGAATCTACAGTTAATGATCCTGGAAGGTAAAAAACGGAGAGGGTTTTCGACAGTACCACCAATTTTTCTTACACGTTTTTTAAAATTCATTGACAAAAGCCACTTTTGACCCATTTATTCAAGATTATTGGCTGTAGCAAACATAAATCAGCTTCTTCCGGGAATTTTTGTGTTAAACACCAGGTGTTATTTGCATCTGATTTCGAGTACTTGGTCACAGTGGGCACCCACTGAGATAATGGCGCACGCTAATGCTTTTTGAAACTGAACTTGTTATAAAGCTCTCCAGAAAATTCTTCCTTAGGTGGTGAAATCGCCTTTATAGGATGGATATTATTTGAAATTCTGCAAGAAACTCTTAATAATAATCATTATATAAATTCGAAAAACTGGTGATTATCACACAAATTTCATTTCGGAGCAGTTTCAGCAGGAGTTTGCACCTTTCGACGCGAGCGTTTGATCTAAAAGCCGACTATTCAGGGCGCTAAAAAAGACTACGAATTGGGAATTGAAATTTCTGCGCTAAAAATAGAATGAGGGTAGCATCCGCAGTTCGTTCTAGCTGTTTTCGGAGTGACAAACGGGTTCACAGGCAGCTGAAAAGTTAGATTTTGATTTTTTTGAGAAAATGGAGAAGAAAAAGGAAGAAAAATCGTATAGAAAAATATTGAAAATGACAGCGATTCCACCACCTTCTGAGAAAGAATTTTCAGGAGAGTTTTATAAAAAGTTCAGTTTTAAAAAGCATGAGCGTGCGCCATTATCTCAGTGGGTGCTGTCTCACGGCCACGCGTGGAAATGAGTAGCCAATCATATGCCCGGATCCATGATTTCACTCAATCACAGACAGGCAAAAGCGTAGGCAAAATCGACCACCCTGTTAACGGGTTAACACAAAAATTCCCGGAAGAAGCTGATTTATGTTTGCTACAGCCAATTATCTTGAATAAATGGGTCAAAAATGGCTTTTGTCAATGAATTTTTATAAAACATGTAAGAAAAAATTGGTGGTACTGTCGTACTTTTTACCTTCCAGGATCACTAACTGTAGATTCAAAATCAAAAGAGGCGATTTTCTGGAAATTAGATTTTCTGGCATATTATATTTTCTGGCAGTGCCAGAAAATCGCCTTTGCCAGAAAGTCTAACTGCCAGAAAGTCTAACTGCCAGAAAATCGCCTCTCTCGGTGGTAAAGTGGCAAATTTGACGGTCAAACAAAACCGCTCAATCGCGCCCGCCGAGCGATGATTTTTCTCTTCTATGTCTTTTTTTTTGTTTTTGGAGTTTCCTCTTTGATTTTCAAAGAGCAAGGCTAATTATAAGATGAAGCCCCCGAGGAGCTGTTCATATTAATGCAAATCAATATCTCACAATTCGAATTCGTTCTTCCGAGAAATAAACAAATGGAAAAATGAATTTATTAAGAAAATTTACCTTTGACCTCGTTGGTAAATGTCTTCATGATTCTTTTCATTTTGAGTGTTTTTTAAATTCGCTCTCTTTTTCTTTTACATTATTTTCAGAAAATCATGATTATGGAAAAACAGTGACCAATGCGCTGATTATTTTTTGTTCTGGCCCGGGGCGCGTTTCAAACAACGAGAACGCGCAGGCAACACTGGGATGAATTTTTCATGAAGTGGATGAAGCCAGCTAATGCATCAGCTGAGCCACCTATGGGCACGCAACTTCACAAACATACTCTACGATTTAAGTTTCAATTTCAACGCGATGCGCTCCCGAGCTCCACCTATCGCTTTACTGAACATCAAACGCAAACTGTACAGTGTACACTCAGGGGTCTGGATTCGCTTTGCGAATTCGCTCATGAGCGAAGCGAAACGAATTCGCTTCGCTTCGCTTTCGCTTTTTGTTATTTCAATTCGCTTCGCTTCGCTTTCGCTTTTTACCAAAAATTTTCGCGAAAATTTCGCTCAAAAGAAATCTTTCCAGGAATTGAAAACTTCGCCTTTTTTGCTTAGCTTTAGTTTAAACTCAAGTGGAAATTTTGCTGAATGAGCTAAGTTGGCACTTGTAAAAGCTGAGCTCAGAGAAGTTTTACTGTTTTTAAAGTAGACAATATTCTGAGCTGCGCTGAGCTGAGCTGTCCTTCACAAAAATCATTGAGCTGAGCTGACTCTTCAAATTCATTCAGTTAATTTGAGCAAGGCAGTCAATATTAAAAATGATTGACCTGAGCTGAGCCACACAGCCTCTTCAGCTCACTAATCTCAGAAAATTTGCAATTTGAAAAATCGGAGAGGGAGTCCGAATGGAGTGGTCTCCATTTTCCTGAGTCGCCGTTTGCCCAAGATCTCTGTTTGTCCAACTTGAGGAATCGGCGAATTGGACAAACGGCGATGTATTATAATTTAAATCGATTGATCTTATAACTTCATATATTGGCCTCCCGACAATCAATCCTGACATCACCATCTTCAATCCCGGCTTCAAAAATTTCGATCCTTGCTTTTCAGACGTCAATCAATCTTGGCATCTCCAGCACCGATCCGGGCGTCACTAATAAAAATGAAACCATACATAAAATGGACACTTTTTCAAAGGTTAAATATTTCCGGAAAATTTTCGCATTTTTTCGCTTTTTAGAAAAATTTTTCGCTTCGCTTCGCTTTCGCTCACGAAATTTTCATTCGCTTCGCTTCGCTTTCGCTTTTAATTTTTGAAAAATTTTCGCTTTCGCTTCGCTTTCGCTTTTCATTTTTGGCCAAAATCCAGACCCCTGGTACACTACGATGTCAACGAATAAAGTTTACATTACTCCCATTATTTCTAGAAATATCTAGTTCGTAATGAGCTTTTGCGAACACTATAAAATCGTTGTTTTAGTTGATTTATGTTAATTTATCAAGATTTCTGTTAAAAGATCATTCTTCCACA